CTCTCTATCTATCTATCTATCTATCTATCTGTCTGTCTGTCTGTCTGTCTGTCTGTCTGTCTGTCTGTCTGCCTGTCATTTTACGCCCCATCTACATAATTTATTCATTATTTAGATAAACGAGGAGGCGGGCTTTGGCCCTGCATGCCTGTCAGGGCCAACACATGAGGGCGGTCAAAAATTGGTATCGCAACTTATCCTCAAATATCTTTTAACGGGAGAATCAATGTCACCCATACTTTGCACAGCAGTTCGTATAAATTCGTCTTAACTTAATCATATTTTCCCACAACATTTGAGGCTAGATTAACAAACTTCTCTTCATGAATTTTTATAAATACTACAAATCTCCTTCACGAGGAAAATGGAAATAATATTCACAGCACTTCCTGCTTCTCACACACATTTTGCTTACGCATATTATTATGGCCTACGTCACAGCTCACCAGTGACACTTTTTAGTGGCCAAATTAGCTATAAGAAATTAATTTTATTGTGAATTTTTTTTTTTGCACTAAAAGTTCTAAAAACATACGTTCAATAAACATAACCTCGCGATTAGAAAAAAAAAACCCGAGGGACTTGCTTTTAAAAGCAATATTGTCTCAGCTGTAAACCTTTAAAAATAGAAAACGCCCACTGGGATTTTAAAAATTAGTTTTCATTAAGGAATTTTCTAGAATTGAGCTTACAGGTGTTTACAAAAATATTGATCTGTTATTACAAATTGATATAGATCTAAGTATTCTAAGTCACTGTGCAAAAGCTGGATAGTTTGTGTTGAGTAGTTCAATGGGAGAAATTTGACAATAAGTTGGGCCACGAATTTTTGACGGCACTATAGACGGATACAACGCCCCAGCATTAAGACCGATATAATAGATAAAAATCCTTCTCACACTGGAATGGAATTCATTTCTTCTGATTGGGACGGCGAAGCACCGAACCGCTACACCCAAGGACCTCACAAACTTCTTGGCTACACCACAGACGCCGGCTATCTTCCTTACTATCTATGTATTGAACTTTCTCATCGTCCCCTCGCAGAGGCTTATTTCAGCGGCAGGCTGGACTCGGAACTACAGAGCTTCCAGCAGGGGATGCAGGCCATGCTAGCTGAGCAACTGATGCACGTCAGACGCATCCTCAGTCCTACTCCAGCACAGGTTAGAACTCTCACTCGGTGAAGGGACAAGAAGTAGAAGAATAGATGTGCTTATTTATTTTATTTAGTTATTTATTATTATTATCATTATTAATATTATTATTATTATTATTGTTATTGATTAT